AACAAAAGTTACATTACACAAGAACCTGGAAACAACCTTTCTTCTTTAAAACTTCTAAGCTGTAATTGTAAAAGGATGAAGTTTACTGAATATAATTGACCATGCGTGGAAGAGGATAAAATGCTTTGCCAAAGTGTATCAGTCTTGAAAAAATGGACTCCGAGAGTTAACAGTGAAGTTTATGAAAGGGCAAACAGGTCTTTTAATTGCTAAGTTGGCCTAATATTATTTCAACTGAAGAAAACGATACCGTTGAAGCAGAGAGTCTGTTATTTACAGTTGAGCCTTAAACCCTACTACCAGGTGGAGATCGAAGAAAACACGAGATCGAATGAAAAAGATTTGTTGAAGCGAAGATGAACCTGGAGGGCACTCGAATTCTACAGTGGAATAGGCGGAATGGTATCCCTCTCTAAACCTAACCCTAACGCTAAAACTATTTAGCTTCTTAATTCACTCTCTAATTACGTGCGCTGTTGTTAGAGGTATTCGTTAATGAAAGCCGGCGTGAACGCAGAAGTAGTAGAACATTTGACATCAACGAAAAACAATGATGTTTATCAGCACAATTTTGGTCACCGTCCTTATCAGGTTTTTTTTTTTTTTTTTTTTTTTTAACCATTTGTTTAATTTCATTTTGTGTTTTCTATTTTCATTTTGTCTTATTCTTCTGTTAATTGTATAGGGTAATATTCAGAGCCTCACTGCAACTGACGGACGCTATAAGGCACAGCATGGCTTCTTTCCCCTCCTTGCCACCTACACTCGACAAGGTCTTTTTTCTTTCCATCTTCTCTTTTGTGTTACATATATTATTATTATTGATTGGTGAATATTTTTTTCTCGACTCCAAAAGCAATCTGGTGTGCTCGAGCATTTCGTTTCTCAAACTTCTTGAACTTATACCACATATTTCGCAACCTCCGTTCTGTTATTATGGAAAATGTTGTTGGATTGAGGTTGTCCATGAAAATATCAGCTCATTATACTATAAAATTGGACTATTAGAATTTAAGCTAATTTATTTATTTATTACTTTTTGTTGGTTACAGACCTCAGATACTCATACAAAAATGATTGAGATATTGGGCACTCTAACTATGTTACGCAGGAGTTTATCTTGAGCCGCTACAGTTTGGTGTGCCTTATTCCAGGCCACGTTATTTTTGTCTGGTAGCCTCCTCCATTTTACTTCGCTTTTTAGCTGCTATTTTATTTGTCATTATCTTTTTTTATAATTTTATATATTCTATATAAGTCTTGTCTATATATACTGTTTGGTGGAAATCAGTGTATAATTTTCATTTGGGTCAATGGTGTTTCTGTTAAGAGTTATGTAGGATATATCCCATCACCGCTATAGTATGGTAGTTTTGTGGAGGATGACCACAACTGGTTTTAAAGCAGATTTTTCATAAAGTTCATTGATGGGTGACTATATTATTATGATTTTGCAGTGTTGCAGATATAAGTAAAGATAGTGATTATTTTGTCTCACATTGTGAAGAAAAGATCTTATGCATTTTAGTGACTTATTTAATTTACTTTGCAGGCAAAAAGAAAACCTTTCTCCTTTAGGTGCCAACTCTTTAATAACCACTCCTATGGTCCCAGGCCCATTGCATGGGCAGGATGATATTCTGTGATCAACAAACTGATCAATCGGAAGAGAGCTGGGATAAGTTGCTCCAATCTTGTGACCCTGTAGAAAGTTCTTGAATTCAAAAGCCCAAGCCACCAAATATACAGAAACTGATTTCTTGGAAACTAACAACGTTGCTACAGATAGTCTTGGAGCTTCAGAGAAAATTGCTGAAGCAAATGAATATGAGTCTATGGACCATATCTTGTTCCACTAAGCTTGATAGAGAGGTGGGGAAGTGCTATGGGTATCCTTATACTACTTTGAAATCATATATCTATTATCATAAGTATTCTTCCTTTTGTCGTAAATTGATTTCTGTATCTCTAGAGAAATCCTCAGAGTTTAGATATGTCTATCCAGACTCAAAACGGTGTTGTTGTTTTACAAAGAGCTATTATCGATATGTCAAAGGTACTGGTTCTCTTTTGGCAACTATCCGGTAAGATTTAATTTCAAACATGCAGTGATTTACAGAGTTTCTGCTAGAGTTGGTTCTAGGTATCAACCTGCTACATACTGGATGATAAATTTTGTTATTCATATCACGTGTCCAATATCCTCAATGTCAGGTTATGTGTTTTTGCTGCATGCTATTTACCCTGCCAAACGATTTGATTAAATTTAACTCAGGTTTCAAATAGTAACTCATCTGTTTGACTTTTGGTCAATTTTCTGGGTTTCTGGGAGTGCCTATTTTTTCTTTTAAACATTGCTCAGATCATCTTTTGTTTGATGTAGTTTTTCAGAGGTCTACATTTTCTAACAGTATCTTTTCGTGGTCTTTATGTACAATTTGATTGATATGCAGCCAAAGAAGAGGGAAAACAACTTCTCTGAAGGAGCAATGCCTTAGATATTTTACCCCAGGGAGGTATGACGAGTTACCTTGTATCTTGTTGTTCACAAGTGTTTTGATATTTTGTTTGTTTTAATTTAGATGTTTTGTCATTTTGATATTAGGTTGCTAATTTGCACTCTTTCCCGGAGGATTTTCAGTTCCCACAGCACATAAGCCTTAGACAACGGTATGCAATCGTTTCCCGTACATTGTTTCCCCATTGTGACGAGTAAACATAAATCTGCTGCATCATGTTATTACCAGTTTTTTTTTTGTCTTCATTAAATTTATCAGATCAGTTTCTTATCACTGCAGTTATGCATTGCTGGGAAATGGTTTAAGTATAGCAGTGGTCGCTCCCTTACTCCAGTATCTGTTTGCTCAGCCGCTGATATTCATTAGGACTCTATTTTACAAATGTCAGATGTCTCCATGTGAAGTCGCGCACAAATTACCAGTTTTTGCAGGGTTGATGAGTTGAGATAACTAGCTTATAAGTGTGAAAATTTGATGAGTTCGAATAACTAGCTTAAAATGTCTCAACTTTGCTAGCCCTTATCTGAGCCATGGCCCTTATAGTTAAGCCGGGTGTGAGAGGGCTTATCAGGCGGATTGAGCTGTATAATGAGCAGGAAGTTGGATTTTCAACAAGCAGTCCAGTTGTTGTATCTAATTTGTAAACGTGCTACACTTCTTAGAAACGGCAGAGAAATTGTGTTGAGGGAAATATAGAAGGTTCTAATACATCATCATTTCTACAGGTCCTTAAGTGCTAATTAATGTCATTTTATTCTTTAAACATTTCAGAGAACTGCCAGGATAGAATTTGTAACCCATTGACCATCTAACCATGACTTCGCTGGCAACCGCCATTTGCAATCGCGTTCAGCATATCCTCTACTTACTTTCTAGCTCTGTAAAGTTTTGTATTGTCTAGAAAATTAAAATTTAAGAGGACCATATGGATTTTTGGTGGAGTTAAACAATTTTTTTTTCATCCAAATAATGATTAAACATTTTTTTCACCCTAACTTTTAAAATAACTGTATTATCCAATTTATATTATGACAGTTAATAGAGAGGAAATTCGGTCTAGACTATTGGAGTTTTAAAGAGAGAGGCCGATAGTCTTTAGGGTGGAATGTTATCTTTCGTAGTTGATTAATTGAAATTTAACTTAGAAATTATGGCTACCAAACCTATTTGCTGATTATCGGTGATTGACGGGTTAGGAAGAATAGGGTTTGAGAGGTTTGATAATGATAATTGAGAAAGAGAATAGATGATATGGGATCGGAACATGCAAAATCAAAAATATAAGATATAAATACTATCTCAAAGGTACTATTATTTTGATGAGAACAGTGGTTACTGTTTCTGACCTTTCTGCTGGGTCAAAAGAAGAGAAATAACGGTGTGTTTATTATAGCAAGATCCTCAAGCAAAAGAATAATTGATTAACTCGGGCCAAATGCGGGCATAGCCAGCGCCCATGTCGCCGAAGTTCTTCCCTTTTAATTTCAAACAAAAGGGTTTAACCAGTCGGGTTTAGTACTTAGTCTGCAATTCGCCAACTTCCGACAATAACTATGAGATCTTCACTTACTTCTTCACCATCCCCCTTTATTCTTCGCTCTTTCAAGTACCCTAGGCCTCTATGCTCTCAACCAGAATGTCCCAACAAACGCGATTTCATCTAATCTCCATTTTCCGGGAATCCTGAATCAAACTTGGTTCTCCCGAGAAAATCACCCCGACACCCTTTCGCCGAAAACCCAACTTTCTCAGAATCCAAACAGCCTCATTTGCCTCACCCACTTTAGAGACCCAGATTTAACACCAACCGATGTGATAAACACTCTTATAAGCTACAAAAAACGACCCAATTTCAGCTTTGAAATACTTCATCGGGTGGGACGTTTTGTCAAAAGCCTCGATTCATTCTGTGTTTTGCTTCCATTCTGATGAAAACCACAGACTGGGCACACTAACAAGAACTCAAAATTAGCATAACTCCACAGCCACTATTGATGGTAGTGACTAGAAAAGCAAACATGACTAGCAAGAGGTTTAAAAATCTAAAGGGCTGTATTGTACTCGAGCATGGCAATTTCCAATAAAGACAATACCCAACAGCATTGGCAGAAAATTATTGAAGAAATCAAATTGTATCATCAGAAACACCTTTAGTTTAGGCATACCAGAAAGCTGTCACTGTAATAAAAAAATTCAGCTCAAGATATTGGAAACGATAAATCTAACAGATTCGTTATTCCACCACATAATACATTGGTCAGCTTTTTAGGCAATAATATATTTAATACTACATTTCCTTTATAGCCCCTAACTTAAGAACTTTTTTATTAGCCTTTTAAGAGTTCAACCTGAGAATTTCCGCTTAATCCAAAATTACAAAACAAAACTATACAAATTACATGTAACATTAATGCCTATTGAATAAACAAAACTAAAGTCTATAAATATACAAAAATGAAGTGTTTATGCAAAGAATACATACCATCTCGTTTTACAAAATCACCACCCTGCAAACGGAAACAAACTATTAGTGCACCAGTAAGCAAAATAAGACAACTGAAGTTGACAAAACTGCATTGGGTGAGGTTAAGCTCAGTAAATTTTGAATATAGACAACTTCGTAAGTACAACCTTAAAACTACATCACAAGAAAAGCAGTCGTGACCATCAGCCCTGTGTCCTACAGCATAAACAATAGTAACTGACTAAAGTAACTGACTGAAAGACAGACCACTTCTAAGCCATGTTCAACAAAAATGAGAAAACACATATTCTGAATCCATTCAAAGGAAAAACAACTAAATGTAAATAAGATAAAACAACAAACCTCAGCCATGGAACCTTTAATGATGCGATGAAAGAAGGACCCTTTATAGTGCAGTGGTTTCCCAGTTTTTAGACCAATTCCTTTTTCCCCTGAAGATGCAATAATAGTTTAACAATATAAATGTCTCAGCAAAACCATAAAATGATTGAAATTAGACCAGATGAATCAAAAGGTAATGCTACAATATCACAACCATGAGCCTACTATAGAAAAACATGTGACAAAAAAAGAAGCTATACACATGTATTACCTGTACAAAGTGCTCGAAAATTTTCTGCAGTCTTAGGAGCAACATCAGCAAACAGCTGTATGATAAAGAGAAACCATGCAATTAATTCAAGCAGAAAATTTGGAAGGGGGAGGGGAGAATGCCAAAAAATCATAAAGATGGTGAGTCCAAGCATAATAATACCTCAAAAACCATTCTTTCAACAGGATCACCATCGATTGAAACATCCATAAAAACCAGAGGATTCTTCTTCTTCGCCATTTATGCTTTCCAATATCAAAAATCAAGCTAGCTTAACAATGATCTATCTGACAAAATTAACAGGAACCCAAATCAAGCCAGTTCATCTGATTACATTCATGGAAAGCATAAAACTAAGTCAACTATACTGAGATACTGGATAAAAGTAACGCCAAAGAGCACCACTTCAGCATTGTGGAGACATCAATTTTATATTTCGGGATAAAAAAAGAAAGCATCTCTAGAGAGAGTTAACCCTCCAGAACTTTGCACTTCACACTCGTACATATTACAGACCGAACTCCAGTTGACAAAAACCAACATTTGTGACCAAAAATATCGATGGCTTAAGTGACAAGAAATATATCTCAGTTAACAAGTCAAGGCATCAAATCAATGCTGGTAGCTAACAACCATCTGGAGTAAAGCTCACAAGAAAATTATTCAGTGCTTGTCATCGGAGAAATCATATGTCCAAATAAACTCCAAAGTAGTAATGGCATTCAGCTAATATGAGAAAGATCAGTAAATCAATTGAGCAACCAGTAAAACCAATCTAGAGTAACCACAGATCTAAACTCCAAGCTTTATAAGCTTATGAACAGAATGAATCGAATAGAAGTCTAAAAAGCAAAAGAATCTGAACTTCCCTCAAGTTAACCAATGACCATCAAACTGATTTCACCCAAACAAAACGAAAAAACGAACGCATTAACAATCGTAGACAGGTCAAATAAACTAGAACAGTAAACCCTAGCAAGATTCCCGCAAAACCCTAATCTAAAACTAAACATGATTTAACAGCGAATAGGCTGAGAAATAGTTAATTACATTAACCACGAATTAGATGTAAACTAAAATCAAGTATATACAAACAAATTCAAGCAATATTAAAAATAATTGAGCAGAATAAAATAAATTTGACTAAGAATCAGATTAATGGTTTGAGAAAACGAGATAAAACAAAATAAAAATAATTGACATATAAAAGTTATTTACTCGTGTTGCAGAAAGAGTAAGCAATAAACCCTAGAATTCACCTGAGAAATGCAGAGCCACATAAAAAATGCAACGATATGACAGAAAGAACAGAAACCTTCCCCCAGCAAAACCTAGTCGCCTTTAAAAGAAGCCTAGCTACTTCTGCTCGCTAAGTGAAATTATCCATCCGTCCTCAAATTTCAAAGCATATTCTCTTAATTACCCTTTCCTTTTCTTAAAATCACGTGCACATCCTCCGTTGGATACTTGTATCCGAACATAAATAATATAATTCATTTTAATTTTAATTATATAATTCATATTAATTTTAATAATATAATTCATTTTACTTTTAATAATATAATCCATTTTATTACTCATTAACATAAAGGTATTATTAGTGAAATTCTTCTTAATATTTTGGATTTAATTATAAAATTTGTCGTAACTCTTTTCTTATTTTTTTTTATATAATTTGGAAAAAAATATGTAGACCAAAATCTTATAGAAAATAAAGATTTCCACACAAGATTGTAATTTTGAATGATTTTATTCTCTCTTAGGAGGAATTATGTTCTGAAATTAACATATTTTGATTAGACATTAGTTGTTTTCATGTCTTCTCAACTTGAAAATACTGCTTTATTCTTGTTCATAATCATACTACAAGCTACCTTCCACCCTCAGATTTTTCACCTTCACCCCAAATAGCATAAGCTTCTTCCCCATGAATAGCTTCATCACCAATCTCCATGTCTTCATCAGACATTCTCAGAGGTATAAATAGTTTAATTAAATTACAGATTAAGCTTGTACTAATGATGTTAAGAGTGACGATATAGACAATTCCAAGAAGCTGAATTCCAATTTGCCGGAATCCGATATGGATTTTTCCCATATCAAAACCATAGAACAGACCAACATATTCACCATATGAAGCATAGAACAAATAGTTGAGTCTTGGTTTTGCAAAGAGACCACTTAGGATTCCCCCAAGAGCGCCGGCAATGGCATGAGTGTGTAGAACTGCCATTGTGTCATCAACTTTTTGAAGAAGCTCAGATCTCTTATGCACAACCATCATGGTGAACCATGGAATTGAGCCTGAGCATATCCCCATTACAATTGCTGCCCATCCTTGGACAACCCCTACATCAAAGCATGAGCAAAACCTTATTATAAAATTTCTTTCCATGTGATATGATAAAGTTTTATGTAACACACAATTAGATGCATTGTTGACTTACCAGCTGCTGGGGTGATGCAAACTAAACCAGTGATCATGCCTTGAACGGCACCAATGACAGAAGATTTGCCAAAAAATACAAGATCTAGCTTGACCCAAACAAGCAAGCTGGTTGCAGTACATATATGTGTGTTTAAAACTGCCAAGGAAGCATCAGTGCTTACAACGTAAGGGTCTCCTCCATTGAACCCTGTCCAACCCATCCACAGAAGCCCTGCTCCCATTAACATGAGAAGAATATTATTTGGGGGAAATCTTTCCCTGTCCTTGGTTAGACGAGGACCGACCTGTGATGAAAATTAGAGTGTAATATGATCAAATGGATTTTTTAATGCATACTAGTCCTTAATTATTCTAACATACTAATACATATATAAAAATTACTAATCCACGGTGATTCTAAGTCACTTTTTTTGTCCTAAAACAAAACTTCTGCCAAAAAAAGGGGTTAATAGTTCTAGTATTCTAGAGTTGGATTAGCTGCTTATATTGATCCAAGTAAAATGAATTTTATGAAAAAATTTCATACCCAAAATGCAGCTGTGTAACCAGCAACTCCTGCAGACAGGTGAATCACATACCCACCAGAGTAATCTATAAGGCCTTTCTTGAAGAGGAAACCATTAGGACTCCAGATACTAAATGCTCCAATTGTGTAGGAAAAGGTTAGCCACAGTGGCACAAACATCATCCATGCATAGAAGTTCATGCGTCCTAGCACGGCTCCAGCAATCAAAATCAAGGTAATTGCTGCAAAAACAAATTGGAAATACACCATAGTAGCGTTGGGAAACTTTCCAGAAAATGTCTGTTCAAGGAGAAAACCGTTCCCTAATGAAGCATTTGGAACTCCCCAAAATGGAACATACCTTGTCCCAAAAGACATCCTGTAGCCCCAACAAACCCAACAAAGAAGAACACAAGCAAAAGCATAAAGTGCCATGAATGCAGAATTGACAGCCCATTTTTTCTTCACCCCTCCTCCATAAAGGAGAATAAGTCCTGGAACACTTTGCATACCAACCAGTGTAGCAGCTGTGAGTTGCCATGCATTATCACCTTTGTTCATCCAACCAGGGCTTGCCTCATTTGGCGCTAGATTTGAAGGGAAAGGAGAGGGTGCATCAGCCATGTTTAGCTCTCCTAATTCTGAATCAAACAACGTGATAATAATTCTCGAGAATAGATTTAAGTTCTACATTGCTGAGCTTATAACCAGGCCTTTGTTGTTTTGATTCTGCCGATAAGCTGTCTCACTGATGGTATCTCTCTTGTCATTGTTTAAATTTTTTTAACTTTTCTATGACATTGTTTGGATTGTATACTTGCTAAGGCTCATCATTACTGATATTTTATTAATATTGGCGGTTACTCCAACCAAATTTAACGGTATTTACAAAGATATATTAGCATCTTGCTGTTGTTGCATATTTACAGCCGCAATAATTAGCATGGCATATTCCAGGCTGTCTACTAATCGAAGTGGGTCTTGGAATGTCATATGTAACTCTTAGTATGCACACAAATATTAGAAATTAGAGTTCTATCTGTGATACTGAGCAATAGTATCTTCTCTTCTTCTTCCTTTTGTCTCCAGAAGATTTCTAGTGTTTTCCCTTCCTCTCAGTACTTCATATTGATTGTCATCCAAGGAAACATCCTTCACCATCATTCAGTATCTGTATTTAGAAACAATCAAATTAATAATTGATACTCAACCTACAGTCTCAGGTTCGATTCTCCGTTAGACACAAAGGTAATACTTTTGCTCATAATTCACATGAGGGTAGTGGCGGTGGGTTACTGTGAGATAGCTTCCCTTAAGGATTAGTCAAGGTGCTCGTAAGCTAGCCCGGACACCTAGATTAAAAAAGAAAAAAGAAAAAAAAGTGTTAGATGAATTTCTAACCTTCACCAAATTCACTGTCACAGTTGGCCTCCCTTCTTCATCGCCAGCATTTTCAATTTTTTTTTAAAACCTGTTTTTCCTGCACAAGCTCCCCATAAGAGTACATATTTCCTGTTAATAATTTAACATCACTTGACAAAATAGCTTTAAATTTAACACGAAATGCCTGAGTTAAATGAATTTTACAGCCTCATAATATTCAAGTATGTAGTAGCATCCAAAAGAAGGGAATTTAGATGCGCCTTGCAACGGGGCAAGTCAAACAAATGTTTCACAACCTGCGTGTCTTACATAACGAAAATGATAGAGCCACCGAAGGTTGCGTACCGAATCTGTGCACCGAATGACGTTGCAAAATCTTGACCGTTTATTAATATTAACTGATAATGAATCAACGGTCAGGATTTTGCCACGTTATTCGGTGCACAGATTCGGTGCGCAACCTTCGGTGGCTATAGCATTACTCCTTACATAATCAGGAACCACTAATATACATCACAAATCGTCACATCAATGAGCGTAATATAAATGATGTATTATTCTAACAATATATGGAACTGTTTGATCACGATTGATCGGAGTAGAGTTTATGAAAACATCATTTTTGTGAAAAGATTATTACTGTAGTTATTGTGTGGGAAAAAAAAATCGTTTTGATTCTGTCGAGTTCCAATAATGAAATAAATATATTACGGCCAGTGTTTTAACCCAATTCTGATAAGATCTACGCTTAAATTCACCTTGTGAACTGACCACTCTATTAGTTGAGTAATACTACAAGTTAAGTTAAATCGGATTTCAATCCCAAAATATGAATCAATTCTATTTACTTTTCACTTTAGTCAAGATCCAAAATCTTACTTGAAGTGGTAAATATAGACAAGTGACAAGACTTTCTTCCTCATTGAGACTCATCTACTAAGTAGGACTTAGAGTTCTATTAGGATTCCAACCTCTTTGGTTCACTATATAAACAAAGGTTAAATTTCTTATTATTCATTCAGAAATCACTTAGCTTTAGCTTTTAAATTATTGCTTTCAAGAATCATAGCCTTTGCTCATAGTGAAGCTTAGTTCCAATTAACTTCATCACCCTACCACCCTTAGCCGCCGCAAAATTGTGCTTCGACCACTTTGTGTTAGTCTAGCCTTGTCTAGCCCTAGTCACATTGTTATAGTAAACCCTTCCCGCTCTCAACCCTCACTAAATATTAACTTGAGTGCACCGGTATTCCTCGAGCCTTCACATTCCTTTATTCTCTCTGTGTAGGTCCATAGATTGTCAGCGACTTGCTTCTCACAAAATCCGTCACTTCCGAATAAATCATAGATTTTACCGTCTAGCTTAAAAAGAGCTTACTAAAGAAGCACAAATTGTAAAATGATTTATTTTAAATATTATAAATACTTTTTTAAAATACAACCAAAATAATGTAAAAAAAAGTTCGAACTGTGTTGTTGTTTTGACCATTCCAATCTATGATTTGAATCCAAAATAGTGATTTGTGGTAAAACACTATTGCATCTCAATCCATTGCACAAAAAGAATATTCTCTTTCTTTTTCTTTTGTTGTAATAATAACAATTAATCTATTTTACTCGTTTTTTGTATATATTAATTAAATATTGGGAATGATATTTTTTTAAATAACAATTACTTTGAAATTATACTAATTTAATAAAATAAATACTTTATTTATTCCAATAAAGATTACATTAATATTAGAAAAACATTACCTGTAATATAAAATGATACCAAAAATAAAAAAAAAAAAAGACAACAACAACATAAAAGTAAAATTCATATTGACAGTAATTTAATTTTTGAATTAGTATATTTTCCCACAAATGATTAATTAGTATAATTTTAGTTTGAGTTTGTAGGTTAAATTATATAAATAAAGTTTTGTTTTTAATTTTTCATCATTTTTAATTATATAATTTATGATTATATTATAAATATAATATAAATAATAATCAAAAACTTAAATACAAATAACAAAAAAAAAATATATATTTTTATATATGTTTGAACATGCCCAAATTGGTGTTGAACAATGTTACACAAATTTCGTGACTGTACATGGACACCAAATTGCTGCAAAAATTGGTGCTGGTTGGAGCTGTTTCACACATTTTGGTGTTTTTATACAAAATAGCGGGGGTGGAGATGGCCTTAGAAAAAGTTTTCTATTGCTAGTTTTTTTTTTTTTTTTTTTTACTTATTAAATTTGATCAGAATTCAGATCAGTTTCTTGTCACTGCAGTTATGCATTGGGAAAAGGATTTAAGCATAGCAGTGATCGCCCTTTCTCAAGCCATCACGTATTCATTTAAAGACTCCTATTTGACAAATTCCAGTGTCTGTGTGAAGTGTATCAAGTTACCAATTTTTGCAGGGATTGATGAGTTCAAAATAGCTAGCTTATATGTCTCAACTTTGCTAGTACTCGTAGTGTAGTTGAGCCAAGGATCAAAGGGCGTCCACTGTCAGGACTAGATTTTCAACAGAGCCTGTTGTATTAAATTTATAAAGTGTTACACTTGTTGTAAGGCCAAGGAAATATAGAGGTGTAATATATACTCATTTTACAGGTGCTAACTGCTAAGTGCCAAGAACAACATTTTTTTGTTGCCATGGTGAGAAATAGTAGAGTTGATGTTCCAATGTCCTAATGGATTAGTAGAGGTTAGGGCTGTTTAACGAACCGAGCCGCTCGTGAGCTGGCTCGATTGTCTGATAACGAGCCGGCTCGACTTGGCTCGTGAGACAGAACAGGCCGAGTTCGAGCCATACTGACTTGGCTTGTTAGGCTCGCGAGCCGAGCCTGGCTAGAAATACCGGGGTGCTTTTTGAGAATTTTGAAATACTGGATTTAATGAAAATAATGCAATACAAGTTTTATAAAAACAGAAGGGCCCTGTTAATTAAAATCCCCAAATCGTCGAATCCTTCGCCAGTAAAACCCTGTGTTGTAAAAGTTGAATCAAATTTGTTCTCTCAAACTAACGATTTATTCTCATCATCAACACACAATTTCCGTCGCATTTCGTGGGAATTCGTCAGCTTCGCGGGATCTTCGATAGTCGTTTGATCTTTGTTGATCTCCGTCATCTTCGTCCAAGCTGTCATCAGATCTGAATCATTTCATCGGATTTGAATCATCTTCGTCGGATTTTGTGGGATTTTAATCGGTGAGTAAGGGAAAATGATTGTGGTACCTGGAAGGGTCAAGGTGATTGGAGGAGGATTGGGGAGAGACCAATGCGGGAAAGAGGCAGCCTTCATTGCTTTGATTAGTTAAGAGAGTTTATATTCGAATGTTGAAACCTAAAACTAAGTCTCCCATTCTGTGCAGTGGAGAAGTACAAGCTGTAAAGGAATTCCAAAGTCTTTGAGTGTTGGGCAAGTTGTCAGGGCATTTATTTGGGTTTTATGGCAGTTCAACAATCAATGCGCAGTGCTGCCCAGCAAATTTTTTTTTTTTTTTAAAAAAAAAGGAGTTAGCTCGCAAGTCGGCTCGAAATATATTAAAACCATTACGAGCTGAGTTGAGTCTTATAATTTATGACTCGACTCGGCTGGCTCGTCAAATTTTTCTCTTTCATGAGCCGAGCTCGCTAAGCCGAAAATTTGACTCAGCTCGGCTCGATAACACCCCTAGTAGAGGTATACGTAAACTAGCTTAGACACCCGGTCCATATATATATATATATATATTATATATATATATATAATATATATATATATATATATATATATATATCTAATATATATGCAATGATGTCTGATGACCTAATGTAAATGAAAGAGAAATTTAGAGTTGGAGGTAATTATTTCCGTAAAACTTTTCTTGATGGTTAAATATAGTCATGCTGTTCTATTTTTCAATGTTCGAAAACCGAACCGGACTATGACCCGTTCAAGGGTGGTTCCGGTTTGACCGGTTGGATCGGGCGGTTGGACCGTATTCTATAAAAAATTTTAGTCCCTGAATGTTTGAAATTCATCAAAAACACCCTATATATCCCTTAAGGTTTGAAATCTCTCCAAAACACCCTTGTCACGCAAAGGGACTGGTGATGGTGGTGGCAAAGACGATCGTCGGCCAATCGAGGTTGGAATCATGAAGCTTTGAGTATAGGTGCCGGGGAATCTGATGGTGGTGCAAGGAGTTCCATCGGTGGTAGAAATCACCGAAATCAACAAAAGAAGTCGACGATCGCGTGAACTTTAGGGGGACGGTGAGCGACGAAGGTTGGATGAGGCGACCGAAATGGCGGGGTTTGTCATGGAAATGCCATCAAGTCTAATGGTGGTGTTTTCTCTATCGAACAATGTCAGAATCGACAGGATTGAGCTGCGATTGGAACGCGATTCGGCACTATTCGACTAGTCCAACCGTGGTCCAATTCGGTTTGAATACAATTAACGGTTTTTAAGGATTTCGGACTGGATATGCCACCGGTTACGGGTTAAACCGGATGGTCCGGTCAAGTTTCAGAACAATTGCTATTTTCTGCTGGGTCAAAGAAAGCAAAAGGATTAATCTGGGTAAGTCTGGCCATAGCCCAGCCCATGTCGCCCAAATTCTTCGTTCTCAATTTCAAAGCAGAAGGTTAAATTTCGAAACAAAAGGGTTCAACCAGTAGGGTTTTATCTGCAGCTTGCCTTGCTAATTACCCACCAAACAGCAATGAGATTTACACTTACTTCTTCACCAATCCGTCTATTTCTTCTCCGTTCTTTCAAGTATCCTAGGCCTCTATGCTCTCAATCAGCTTGTCTTAACGAATCGATTTCATCAGAGTACCCATTTTCCGAGAATCCTGAAAGAAACTTGGAATTTTCCGAGAAAATCACCTCAGACTTCTATTCGCTCCGAAACCCAACTTTCTCAGAATCCGAACACGCTCGTTACACCTTACCCACTTTAGAGTCCACAGATTTAACACAAACCAGTGTGATAAACACTCTTTTAAGCTACAAAAACGATCCACTTTCAGCTTTGAGACACTTCAATCTGGTTGAACAGAAGCGAGGTTTTTCCGAAAGCCTCTATTCATTCGGTGTTTTGCTTCACATTCTGATGAAAAGCTCAACGACTCATGGGCACGCTCGCAATTTGCTCGATCAATACGTTTCGGGCTTTTCCGGACCAACATCGATTGCTCTTGTTGACTACTTGATCGAGTGTGCAAAAAGGTTCGATTTTGATTTAGATTCGAGAGTTTTCAATTACTTGTTGGATAGTTATGTTAAAGCTGGTGAAAAAAATGATGCTTTTGAGTGTTGTTGTAGAATGATGGAGCGTAATATAATTCCTCGGGTTGAACTGGTAAACAAAGTTTTGACCGATTTGGTTAAAAGAAACTTTATTGATGAAGCGAAAGAATTGTACAATAAAATGGTTTTGAGAGGTGTGAGTGGTGATCGAGTAAAAGTTAGCACTTTTTTAAGAGGAGAGAAGAATCAGCAAAACCCTTATTTAGATGATACTTCAAATCATCGTCAAAACCCTAGTGATTTTAACACTGAGAACCACAGCTCTATAGATTCTCAGCACATACCAAACGGGGTTTATGTGGGTGGTTCAAGGAGTTATAGGGAAAGCACTACAACTGATTACCAGAATAATGCATTTCAACAAACTGTTAACTTTAGTGGGTATAATTTGAATAATAATGGACAACCGCAAATAAACCCTAATGGGGCTCAAGCACAAATGTCTTGGGGTGGACATTATAATATGCAGAATCAGTATGGTCCTGTTAGGGAGGGAGGTGGAGAAGCAAGCCAAAAGCTTCACGTTAATGGGAGTGTTATGCAGAATGCTGGGCAATATCAGCAAATCTCAAGTGATCATCATACTGGAAATTTTGGAATTGATCATAATAGCCCAAGTGACAATCTGCAGAACCAAAATGCTGGACAATATCAGCAGAATCCTAATGTAGGACAATGTTTGTCCTCCTCAAATGAGATTCATGATAGAATGGTGACTTCTCAAGTGGTAACTAACCCTATATCTGGGGAGGAATCAGCAGAGGCCTTAGAAAGTAGCCAAAATAATGGTACCCTGGAGGAGTTGGATAGTTTCATTGAGGAAGGAAAAGTGAAAGAAGCTGTTGAAGTTTTAGGGTTATTAGAAAAGCAATGTATTCCAGTTGATTTGCCACGATTGGTTCAGCTAATGCAGGCGTGTGGGGAAGCCAAAGTTTTAGAAGAAGCAAAAGCTGTGCATGAACACATTGTAAGAACAATGACCCCACTTAAAGTCAGCAGCTACAATAGGATCTTAAAAATGTATTCAGAATGTGGCTCTATGGATGATGCATTTAATGTATTTAATAATATGGGGCAACGCAATTTGACATCTTGGGACACTATGATAACGGGCCTTGCAAAAAATGGTCTAGGGGAGGATGCAGTTGATCTCTTCTCTCAATTCAAGCAAGCAGGACTGAAACCAGATTGTCAGATGTTTATCGGGATTTTCTCTGCCTGTAGTGTTTTGAGTGATGCTGATGAGGGAATGCTGCACTTTGAATCAATGATCAAGGACTATGGTATTATTCCGTCTATGAAGCATTATGTGAGTATAGTTGACATGTTGGGAAGCATAGGGTATTTATATGAAGCCCTGGAGTTTGTTGAAAAAATGCCAATGGAGCCAAGTGTTGATGTTTGGGAGACACTGATGAATCTTTGCAGAATTCATGGGAATTTGGAGCTTGGTGACCGATGTGCTGAGCTTGTTGAACAACTAGATCCCTCCCGTTTGAATGAGAAGTCAAAGGCAGGCCTTGTACAAGCTTCGGATCTTGTAGAAGAGAAAGTAAAGAAGAAAGTGGCAAGTCAAAATCCTCTAGAAATTAGGAGCAGGGTCCATGAATATCGAGCAGGAGATAAATCTCATCCGGAGACTGATAGGATATATACTCTTATAAGAGGTTTGAAGTCTCAAATGAAAGAAGTTGGTTACATTCCGGAGACAAAATTTGTGCTACATGACATTGATCAAGAAAGTAAGGAGGAAGCTCTTCTTGCTCATAGTGAGAGACTTGCTCTATCACATGGTCTCCTCAACAGCCCAGCCCGTGCTACCATCCGGATAATAAAGAACCTTCGGGTTTGTGGTGATTGCCATACTGCACTGAAAGTCATCTCAAAAATTGTTGGTAGAGAATTCGTTATACGAGATGCTAAGAGATTCCACCATTTTAAAGATGGATTGTGCTCCTGTCGGGATTATTGGTGACGATAATTTAGTCCAAGGTACTCAGTCTGTCTGACATTTTGAGTCTATTTCTGGTGTTCTCCACTGTGCCATGATTGTCTTTTAAATTTCCTCATTCATTTTTTGTTTGACGCCTTTTTTCTAGAGGTCTATATTTTTCTGACATTATCTTTCTCTGGTCTTTACGTTTACAATTTGATTGAAGTGCAGCCAAAGAAGAAGGGAAACACATCACTGAAGGAGTAATGCCTTAGATATTTTACCCCCAGGTATCTTATTGTTCACAAGTGAATGATATCTTGTTGGTTAATTGATTAATTTAGAAGGTTGTCAGACTCTGAGTCTAGTATGGCACACTGCAGTGCATAAAAAAGATGTCCACTTTATTGTAGATTCAGTAGGAGTGGAGGATATCAGATACAGAGAAAAGGGGGTTGTTTCTAATCCCAGGGCAAAATATGCTGCAGGCCTTAAAGAAAACATCAGAGCTCAGTGATATGGCTTGAACCAAGGGCAGTGTGCACAAACTGCATAGAAGTGTTGTGTCAAAAGCTAATGTGAGCACTGAGCATTGTTCTTCTTTAGTTACTTCACAACTGGTCTGTCTTGAGTGGAGCGGAAACTTGCTGGCATTCTTTTTTGCTGTCAATTGCCCTTTTGATGGCTATAAAGAATGCACCTTTGGTTAAATTGGTAATTATTTGATGTACGGTAAAGTTAGATTAGTTTCTTTCTCAGCTAGAATTCAAAGCAATTCTGATTGGTAAAAATCCTACCAATCAGAATTGTAATTAGAAATGCCAAATATAATAAGGCTATGATGCTTCTCCTCTTTGTGTTCCCTTTAAAATGAAACAAACTACAGTGTTAACTATATTCTATAGTACTAAATGGGGTTAAATACTTAAATCTCAATAATGATAGACGATTTTGATCTAATTTTTTTTCCATATTGATTGATACACCAAGGGCTTTCGATAGATCACCAGGGCCTTGAACATGTACAGGTTTTATTCCATACTAGGGAAGCATGTTGTAAAGTATAGTAGTGAGCCCTCAATACCTCCAGTTTCTCCTGGATTTATAACACCGTTTCTAAAGTCACCAGATCTGATAGTCATTAGAGGCGAAGACCGAACAATTTTCAGAATTCAATTTTTGGTTTTAATGTCAGCTGCCAATACTGTTGAGCATCCAGTTCTTTTGTTATGATTTTGCCACAGCAAAGTTATTAAATTAGGCATTCAGGAATCGTGCATTGGCATACTAACTTGGGTGTTTTTGAACATGACAATACATTAAAAATTTATTGGGTGACAATGATAGCATAGAAGAAAAGGTAGCACACACCCAGAAGTCACTAGAAATTGTTTATTAGGATTACTACAAGTAGTCCATGCCACATTAACCAAAAAAAATTAACAAAATAGTTTCAGTTATATTGAAATAAACCAAAAATTTTAACTTTGCAGCTGAGAGGGGTCCTATAACTATTGCATCCTCAGGAGGATTTGCTAGTTATCCAGCTAGAGTGACTATTAGTTGCCCAGAGAAAGGTGAAGTTGCTGGAAAGCTTGTTCCAGTGCCTAAATCACCTGAAGAATTATTCAATATTGGTGCCCAAAAATTTTGGTTTCTCGCCCATCAAAATTCTAACCAAAGAAGGAGCCGAAATTGATGATATAGACCTTATCAGAGATACTGATCACCTAATTCTTGTCAGTGACAATTCAAGAAACCAAATGGCTGAAGAGCTAAGCAGTAAGACTCATGGTGGGTCTTAAATTTTTCAAGACAAGTGCCACTAACAAAATCTGAACTTGAGGGAAGCCAGAAGATGGTTTTCTTTCTTCTTTTGCTTCTGTTTACATCGTGTAGATTTTTACCTTATGATTTCATCATATAATTTGGGATCATAATGGAAGTGATCATACAAAGGGATGTAAATGGGAGAATATAGAATATACATAAGTGATAACAATTCCAGAAGTTATTTGACAGTTTTTTACCTTAATGGAGTTTCAACAAGTTGTTCATACAAAGGGGGTTTGGGGACAAAAGACCTGATTTTTTTCCCTTCAAAATATTACTGCAATGTGATGTTAATTCTATTATAGGTCGTTTATCTTTTACTTCTCCAAAAATGTATGCAGAAGCTTGGCAACTACATGGGTTCTGTTTAACTTAAAACATGAGGATGATTTCTTGTTGCTTAGCATTGCAAGTTTGCTTATACCATTACATATTTTTTGCAAAAATTGCTCACTCAAGTAAGTAAACAGCTGTANGCAGTTATGCATTGCTGGGAAAAGGATTTAAGCATAGCAGTGATATCTCCCTTTCTCAGCCATCACGATATTCATTTAAAGACTCCATTTGACAAATTCCAGATCTGTGTGAAGTTGTATACAAGTTACCAATTTTTGCAGGATTGATGAGTTCAAATAGCTAGCTTATAATGTCTCAACTTTGCTAGTACTCGTAGTCGTAGTTGAGCCAAGGATCAAAGGGGCTTCACCTGTCAGGATCCTAGATTTTCAACAAGCAGCCTGTTGTATTAAATTTATAAAAGTGTTACACTTGTTAGATAAGGCCAAGGGAAATATAGAGGGTTGTAATATATACCCTCATTTCTACAGGTGCTAACTGCTAAGTGCCAAGAAACAACATTTTTTTTGTTTGCCATGGTGAGAAATAGTAGAGTTGATAGTTCCAATGTCCTAATGGATTAGTAGAGGTTAGGGCTGTTTAACGAACCGAGCCGCTCGTGAGCTGGCTCGATTCGTCTGATAACGAGCCGGCTCGACTTGGCTCGTGAGACAGAACAGGCCGAGTTCGAGCCATACTTGACTTGGCTTGTTAGGCTCGCGAGCCGAGCCTGGCTAGAAATACCGGGGTGCTTTTTTGAGAATTTCTGAACTACTGGGATTTAATGAAAATAATGCAATACAAGTTTTATAAAATAACAGAAGGGCCCCTGTTATTAAAATCCCCAAATCGTCGAAATCCTTCGCCAGTAAAACCCTTGTTGTAAAAGTTTGAATCAAATTTGTTCTCTCAAACTAACGATTTTATTCTCCATCATCAACACAAATTTCCGTCGCATTTTCGTGGGATCTTCGTCAGCTTCGCGGGATCTTCGTCATAGTCGTTTGATCTTTGTCTGATCTCCGTCATCTTCGTCCAAGCTTCATCAGATCTGAATCATCTTCATCGGATTTGAATCATCTTCGTCGGATTTTCGTGGGATTTTAATCGGTGAGTAAGGGAAAATGATTGTGGTACCTGGAAGGGTCAAGGTGATTGGGAGGAGGATTGGGGAGAGACCAATGCGGGAAAGAGGCAGCCTTCTATTGCTATGATTAGTTAAAGAGAGTTTATATTCGAATGTTGAAACCTAAAACTAAGTCTCCCATTTCTGTGCAGTGGAGAAGTACAAGCTGTAAAAGGAATTCCAAAGTCTTTGAGTGTTGGGCAAGTTGTCAGGGCATTTATTTGGGTTTTATGGCAGTTCAACAATCAATGCGCAGTGCTGCCCAGCAAATTTTTTTTTTTTTTTTAAAAAAAAAGGAGTTAGCTCGCAAGTCGGCTCGAAATATATTAAAACCATTACCGAGCTGAGTTGAGTCTTATAATTTATGACTCGACTCGGCTTGGCTCGTCAAATTTTTCTCTTTCATGAGCCGAGCTCGCTAAGCCGAAAATTTGACTCAGCTCGGCTCGATAACACCCCTAGTAGAGGTATACGTAAACTAGCTTAGACACCCGTCCATATATATATATATATATATTATATATATATATATAATATATATATATATATATATATATATATATTAATATATATGCAATGATGTCTGATGACCTAATGTACATGAAAGAGAAATTTAGAGTTGGAGGTAATTATTTCCGTAAAACTTTTCTGATGGTTAAATATAGTCATGTCTGTTCTATTTTTCAATGTTCGAAAACCGAACCGGACTATGACCCGTTCAAGGGTGGTTTCCGGTTTGACCGGTTGGATCGGGCGGTTGGACCGTATTCTATAAAAAATTTTAGTCCTGAATGTTTGAAATTCATCAAAAACACCCTATAATATCCCTTAAGGTTTGAAATCTCTCCAAAACACCCTTGTCACGCAAAGGGACTGGTGATGGTGGTGGCAAAGACGATCGTCGGCCAATCGAGGTTGGAATCATGAAGCTTTGAGTATAGGTGCGGGGAATCTGATGGTGGTGCAAGGAGTTCCATCGGGGTAGAAATCACCGAAATCAACAAAAGAAGTCCGACGATCGCGTGAACTTTAGGGGGACGGTGAGCGACGAAGGTTGGATGACGGCGACCGAAAATGGCTGGGGTTTGTCATGGAAATGCCATCAAGTCTAATGGTGGTGTTTTCTCTATCGAACAATGTCAGAATCCGACAGGATTGAGCTGCGATTGGACCGCGATTCGGCACTATTCGACTGTCCAACCGTGGTCCAATTCGGTTGAATACAATTAACGGTTTTTAAGGATTTCGGACTGGATATGCCACCGGTTACGGGTTAAACGGATGGTCCGGTCAAGTTTCAGAACAATTGCTATTTTTGCTGGGTCCAAAGAAAGCAAAAGGATTAATCTGGGCTAATCTGGCCATAGCCCAGCCCATGTCGCCCAAATTCTTCTTTGCAATTTCAAAGCAGAAGGTTAACTCGAAACAAAAGGGTTCAACCAGTAGGGTTTTATCTGCACCTTGCCTTGCCAATACCACCAAACAACAATGAGATTTTACACTTACTTCTTCACCAATCCGTCTATTTCTTCTCCGCTCTTTCAAGTATTAGGCCTCTATGCTCCAATCAGTTGTCTCAACGAATCGATTTCATCAGAATACCCATTTTCGGAGAATCCTGAAAGAAACTTGGAATTTTCCGAGAAAATCACCTCAGACTTCTATTCGCTCCGAAACCCACTTTCTCAGAATCCGAACACACTGTTACACCTTACCCACTTTAGAGTCACAGATTTAACACAAAATAGTGTGATAAACACTCTTTTAAGCTACAAAAACGATCCACTTTCAGCTTTGAGACACTTTAATCGGTTGAACAGAAGCGAGGTTTTTCCGAAAGCTCTATTCATTCGGTGTTTGTTCACATTCTGATGAAAAGCCAACGACTCCTGG